CAAAATGTGGACCTGGGTAACCTTGGGTGTATTTGTTCAATATGGGTATCAAATGAAAGCCGTTCATGAATGCTTTAAGATTGAGCACTTTTCATATAGCTGGGTGACTAGGGTCTCGAGATATAGACCAAAACGTGGACCTGGGTAACCTTGGGTATATTTGTTCAGTATGGGTATCAAATGAAAGCTGTTCATGAATGCTTTAAGATTGAGCACTTTTCATATAGCTGGGTGACTAGGGTCTCGAGATACAGACCAAAACGTGGACCCGGGTAACCTTAGGATGTATTTGTTTAATATGGGTATCGTCTATATCTCGAGACCCTAGTCACCCAGCTATATGAAAATTGCTCTATGTTAAAGCACTCATGAACAGCTTTAATTTGATAGCCATATTAAACAAATACATCCTAAGGTTACCCGGGTCCACGTTTTGGGGCCACGCCCCCTTTATATATCAAAATATTTTTTACCCTGTGACCATCCCTGGAAGATATCCAGTGCGTGTGTAAAATTTGGTTACGATCGGCTTATTCGTTTAGGAGCCAAGTGTGTCTATAGGTACATACATAATTTGAATTTTATATATATAGATATTGAAAAGTGTTTTCGAAACCAACCTAAAAATCGTGGCAAAGTTATCTATCAAACATCGCGATTGTGGCTACGCTGATATCTTAGTGATGCCAGTGTAAGCAGAGATAAACAGCAAATAGTGACTGATTTCGGCAATGTTGCAGTCATTCGCTCAGCTCCACGATTTTACTGTTAGGTGATAAATATGCAGTTCCAAATATTTCTAATAATATGCATAAATTAGCCAATCCCTCCAAATGCAAATAATATAACGTAAACCGCAATTTAATTTACTGACCTTATAATAAACAGTTTACAACTATGTAGTTATGCAGACAGACACACACGTACACCCTATTTATTTATATATAATTTCATAACAAAAGCAGCCTCACTATTTTTGGAATAAATTAAAATTTATGCACACCTCAATTCCATATTCCATATTAATCCGCTAATCCACTAATCCACTAAATATAGAGTTTGTTTAACCACTCACCATTTAACCAAATCGACAGCTTGTCTAGCCGTGCAGTATTAGTTTACTTTATGCTTGACTTAATGCGCTTGTGTGTACACACACCTGCAAGCAAACACAGACAATCGAGCATTTATGCACGCAAGAAACCCTACACCGAATGCATTACCCCACATACATATATATGTATTTGATGAGTTTGGTTTTACAATGTCATTAGCTATGCAAGACAACTAAATGTGGCTGCTATTAAAACAACAACAGCAATCACTATTGATATATGTACTTACACTTATGTATGGTGAGTTGCTGCCGACGTTTGCCTACAACCATTGCCACTACAGGTGTTATTAAATTGAGTAAATAATAATTTAAAGCTGCTGTTATTAAATGCAATACTATAACCACAACTAAGCCACTTGTCTGTATTTGGCGGGGCGTACTTAATGTTTTAATGAAGTCTTGGATTACTTAGTCGTTGCAACGGAAATAAAGGCCATTTCCGTAATATTGTGGTATGGGTGGAAGGCAAATGTTGGGTGCGCTTGAATAACCTTTGTGGTTGGTAGGTTGATATTATACAGACATAAATACCGCTACCGCTACAAAATACTGCTTAAGTAAACTTATACATAAGTTCAAGAAGTATACAAACTTAAAAGCTCAAAGACTTATAAAAGCTGGTATCATATCAGGGCTAGAACTAAATCCCCTTTATGACGATAGCACATATCGTGGTCGTCCAAAATCCGCAACTATTTCGAAAAAAGTCATATTATAAGCTTGGCTCTGAGAAGTTATGAGAGACAGAAAACAATTTAAAATAATATATCAGAAGCTACTTGGGCATGCTTAAATTACGTTTGCCAATTTTGGGACGACATGTAATCATTTCGAATTTTAAATTATTATCCCACCTAGACTCCGTTCCAACCAGTGCTACCCCAAAAAAAATTTTCCTACAAAAATAATTTAAAATTCGATTAGATGGGGTTGGTATTTCCTAACTGATTGACCGCTTGCCATCAAAAATACATACAACCCGATTTTTGATTTCTTATTTTTAATCTCAGCCTTCTTCGTTTTTACTCTGCTCTAAGTGTATGATACTCTCCGATACGATTCAGCTAAATAATGAAAGTAATTTTTGCTTAGCAAACGGTTGACCGTCTCTAATTATAGCTTGCGATTTTAGATAGACCTTAAAAATGAAACTGATGGTGAAACTAGCCAAAAACTCTTACGAGTTACGTAGTTTTTTTTTTTTTTTTTTTTTTTT